GAGTGCCCAATCTTCTGCTTCTGTAGTAAGAAGTGTATTGATGATGGCAAAGGCTGAATCTCATTCAGCCCCCAGATTCACAGGCCATACCCGACACTTCAGATCTCCCAGTTAATTGAGATCTTAATATTTTTAATATGTCATTATTTGGAAATTCAAAACTTTCCTTGGGAGTTTTAATGTATCAGTACCTTCTGGTAATGATTTTTTGAGGGGTGATTTCACGTTTGCTTTCTGTCACACAGTGCAGCCCCAGGAAAGCTGTTGCTTGCCTTTCACATTGGTACCTCGTTTCCAAAAGTTTTAGATGTCTCTGACTTAAGGATTAAACATAAGTTTCCAACTTGGAATCCACGGCCATAAATGCATATGACTTGTGACAATAAATGACAATAGCTGCACATATTAAGTGCAGACTATGTGCCAGGCACTTATACACATTCTTTCTGTTACTGCTGGCAGAAACCCTTTCTCATTCTTACAAGTGAGGAAATGGGAAGTTGAATAGGTTAGCCAAGGTCACATCGTCAGGATGTGCTGGCTTCACCAGTTCGCTACACGGCCTATAGACCTATTCAAGGCCCCCGAAATCAGGTAACTTGGAAAAGCAAAGGTTTAAAATTTCAATCCTAGGATAGCTGGAAATCTAGAGGTGTTATTTTAAATTTAAATAACTATCCTTATTTTGTACAAATTAGAGCTACCTTACACGAATGCCAGAAGTGATCGTTCCATCAGATATTATCTAATTTTAGATCATTTGTTTGCTCTCAACCCCAGAGAAATCCAGCATTCCTTTTTGTCCCAGCAAAGTAAGAAAAGCATGAGCCTGGCAGTCAGATCTGGGCCCTGGCTGGTGACAGAAAGCTTGTGGGGTGGGAGGTGGGAAGGAACCAGAGAACTAAAAACTGCCAGGCACTTACTATGCATCAGGCATTAATTATATCAGGTGCTTTTAAAGGAATTATTTCATTGATTGATTTCTCTGATCCCCAATTTCTTCCTCAGTAAAATAAGCACAATAAAATTTTTCCTTTAGGGTAGTAAGTGTTAAAGGAGATGAACCATGAGGGGGTGGCCTGAGACACCGATGTGTCATGTGTCTGGTACTCAGTTACCGTGCTGCTTTCCCAGATGGTAAGCTTCTGGAGGGCAGGCACTCATCCGTTTCACTCGTTCTGGTTTTCCTAAGGATGCTGGGCCCATAAATACTCAACAACACAGTTGAATGTGTGGACACTGCTAAATTAATGTTCGTTTCTTTCTTTCCCCAGCCACCCAAACCACTAGGTTGATTCAGCTTTATTTCAGAAGATCTGGTATAAAAAGGATCTTAACTGGTTGTCATGTACAGTTGACCCTTGTAAATAGACAACACTTATAGTATTAATCAATACAGTAGAGTACTGTAAATGTATTTTCTCTTTCTTGTGATTTCCTTAATAACGTTTTCTCTTCTCTAGCTTACTTTATTATAAGACTACAGTGTATGATACATATACAAAATCTGTGTTAATCAACTGTTTATGTTATTGGTAAGGTTACAGGTCAACAGTAGGCTTTGGTAATCAAGTTTTTGAGGAGTCAAAAGTCATATGCAAATTTTTGACTTAGTGGAGAGTTGGCACCTCTAACCTGTTTTGTTCAAGGATCAACTGCATGGATCTTTGTTTTCCTCTGTGATTGGTTTGGACATTGACTTTCTGGGGTGATTCTATGGGAGACCGCCATGTAGGTGAGAATAGAGGCAGTTTGTCAGTGGGACCCAATCAAACCTCCCTGACTCCCCAGTTTTCAAAGCATTTTCACATCCTCACCTCCTCAGATCTGCATGGGGGCCCTGGGAGCTGGGATTTTTTTCCTCCAGATCAACAGTAAGTGACAGAAGCAGGTGAATCCTGATTCCAACTTAGAGGTAAAAGAGCTGTGACACATCCCGTAGCTGTCTCTCACAGTTAAGTTGTACAGGCACTAGGAGCTGTGAATCTAAATGTCGGGACACTCACTCTGGCTCTAGAGGACATTATCGTAGACACAGTGTCCCCGAACTGCAGTATTGTACAACCAGCCAAACACAGGAGGAAACAAGCCCAGCTCCTGGAGGTTTTCAAAAAGAATCCCATCCAAAGCACCTGGAACGGATGTTTGCATACCTGCCTCTGAGGCACCCCCAGGGCAGCCAGCAATAAAACTTTCTTGGGTTCTGTTCTTCTCAGGAATAATGTTAAAACATCCTTGATGAGTCCCACATAGTTCTGATGCTTCAGAGAGCAGACCATGTCAGATGGTCCCAGGGGCTGTCCCCCATGGCATGCCTCTGAGAGGAAAGAGGGAAGGGGACATCGATGGGTTTTTCCAGTGGGCACTCCCCAAGTGCCCGTCTCCCTATGGCTTCTGCTAGAGGCAGTTTCCATTCCTGTGAGGCCACCCTTTGGCCTCCTCCTACTGCAAAGTTAGTCCCCGCTTCCGCAGCTTCTCCAGTGCCAGGGCTTGTGCTTGGTGACTTCCTCAATTATACTAGGCCCACCATCTGCTACCTCGCGCTGTCGTGGGCTGAATTCTGTACCGATACGTTGAGATCCTAACCCCAGTACCTCACACTTTATTTAGATATAGGGTCTTTTTACAGAGGTAATCAAGTTAAAATGAAGTCATTGGGGTGGGCCCTCATCCAATGTGACGGGTATCCTTAGGAAAGAAAGGATATTTGGACGCAGAGACAGACACCTACAGACCACGTGAAGAGACGTAGGGAGGATGCCATTTGAAGATTGGAGTTACGCTGCCACAAAACAAGGGAAGTCTGGGGACACCAACAGCTGGAAGAGGCAAGGTAGGCTCCCCCCGCGCCCCGTAGGTTTCAGAGGGCGCCTGGCCACGCCAACAACCTGGTTTCGGATTTCTAACCGCCAGAACTGTGGGGGAATAGGTTTCTGTTGTTTACCCAGTTGGCGGTTCTCTGTTGCAAAAGTCCTGGGGAGTTAATACAACCTCCCGACTGAGTGACCGCTCGCCGTTCCGGCAGGAGCTGTCTGCCCTGGGCCCTCCTGCCCTCGAGTCCACATTTGTCTACCTCCTCCCCATCTCCTTTTGCTAAACTCCAGGAGAACAGTAAGAGCTACTAGGTGACAGACACGCTGCCTTGGGAAAGCTGCCAGTCACAGATTTCAGAGGAGCAACACGTGGTGCCAGGTGGGAATTTTGGAGTCGGGCTGACCTGGACTGGGACCTGGCTGTGGCACTCATGGCTCTATGACCTTGAGCAAGTTGCTTAATCTCTCTGAGCCTCAGTCTTCTCATATCTGGGTTGCTGAGGATTAGTATGGCATAGGTCACGTTTGAGTTTAAAAGAACTTTATCGCTATCCATCCAGTCAGAATTTTGGAGCACCTACTATGTGCCAGACACTGTTTTAGGGGCTTGGGACCATCACTGAACAAAACAAGATCCCTGTCCTCATGCTGCTATATACTAAGGGGGAAGAGACAGATAATAAATAATGCACGTAACATAAATAAATTGTCAAGTATGTAAAAAGGTGGTTATCATGGTAACATGCTATATCATGCTAGGTAATTACCATGGGCTGTTTTTATTATATTCCCTAAGCACTATCTTTTTTTTTATTAAAGTCTTTGGAATATTGCTGCTATTGAATCTGTCATTCCCTTGTTAAAGCTTTGGAATTTCCTTCATGAGTTTCATTAATTTTAATTATCTATGGCTATTTAAAAAATTGTGCCATTTTCCTTTAGATCTGTGTGTGTGTGGTTTAAAATAATCTCCAACTTTAGAAAGATCTCAAGAATGGTACAAAGAAATTTTCTTTTCTTCTTGAACCATTTGAGAGTTAATTTTCTCTTCATCCCTGGATACTTTAGGGTCTATTTCCTCAAAAAAGACATTGCCTTAGGTAACCACAGTACGACCATCTAATCATCAAGTTAACAGTGGAACATGACTGCTGAATCCTTACACCCCTTGCCCCGGTAACATCCGTCATAGCAAACAGACCCAGTTCAGAACCGAGTTCTGCATATATTTGTCATGGTCTCCTTTTAACCTGTCCTTTATTGTGATTTCTTTGTTTCTGTGTGTCTTTTCAGCTTTTTATGTTGTGTTTTTATGTTGTGTTTTCCCCAATATTCCTAATATTCCCATTCCAAGTTAATTGGGTAAATATAACTATTCCAAGAGACTTTTCTTCTTGAGTATACGAAACAAATGTGAATTTCCTTCATGTACATAAAATGATGCCAATTTGTATTAGCCATAATTGTCAATGGTCCAGCTTCCTGTCTTCATAAATTTAATAAGATACTTACCCTGGCCAGGTTCCTTAAAACTACAATTCTGAAATATAGAAATCAAATAATGAATAAAATTCTTTATCCCCTAATCATAATTAATCAATATATTAATATGATGTTGATTAATTATGATTTTGTAGGATACTGTTCTCACCAGTGAACTGTTTAATTCTAAAGGCTTACAGAATACTGCTGTCTCTGTTTTGGTAAGACCCTGCATAAGCCAGGCTTGAGTCCTGCTGTGTTTACATCTAAAGCAGCTCTGAGGCGATACTGGATGCCGACCGACATTTGTGCCTGCTCACGTTCACTGTGGGCAGCCCAGTGCCTTGCAACAGATCTCCCTGCCAGCAACCATCCGATTGGGCTTTGAACCAGGGCAGTCTGATTGCCGAGGCCTTTTGCTTTTTCTCAGACTATGAAGCTTTTATATAAACAGACGTGAAAGCAGTTGCCATGCTCCCTGAAGCTTCATTTGTGCAGGCAGTCTACACCCGAGAGCTGGGCTGGCTCAGAACATCTGAGTCACGGAGCAGGGGTCTAAAGTCTGGCTCTGCTGTTTCCTGGCTGGGTGACCTCAGGCAAGTTATGCAACCTCTGCAAGTCTCAGCATAGTCCTCTGCAAAATGGGATTGTTATTAATTTTTTCTTTATAAATTTGTTCTAAGGCTTAAGAGACAAGCCATGTGAAGCACTTAGCAGAATGTCTAACATGTGTAAGCACTCAGTATTTCAATAGTCATTATTAATAGAGGTGAACTATTAAATAAAAATGCACAGATCTCTATTGCTAACGTTTCTATGAGCCTCTACAGAAAAAAAAAAAAAGATGTCTTCTTGGTTCTGAACGAGAACCCATGGATTACTGTCGACTTTGTCATTACGCCTTAGAGAGAGGCAGCAGTCGAATTCCACATTCAGACATAACCACCCTTCCAAATTAAAAAAAAAAAAAAGGTGTTCTAAAGCAGCTTTCGTGCCCCAAATATACTCACTTGTGAACTGGGACCGGCGGCCCCCTAGCCCGCACTGCCGCACCTTACACCCTTGGAAGAGACCGTAGTAAATGTCCCCAATGAATTTGACCAGCTCTGGGTCGGTGGCGTTGACCAGGTCCACTCCAGTCTGACAAAGGATTTTCCCACTCAGCCAGTGAGGCACTGCCAGGGCAGTGATGATCAGGATGAAGGAGGAGAGGCTGAGTAGAGATGCCAGCCCATACCATGCCTTTTTGAACCATCCAGGCATTCTAGTGGGTGCAGGTCATCCCCCAGGGTTCTGAGCTGCAGTGGGGGCTGTTGACATCTTCCAGATACTCAGTAATACCCTGCTCCAAGGTCGGCTCTTCTGAACACACCATTTCAAGGTCCCAAGTTCATCCCGTGGTCCTTTCGCAGTGCCTGTCTCCACAGCCCGTGTTTACTACAATCGTATCCAGAAGTCTCTACAGACACAGTCTTCACCTGACAGCGCAGAGGAGTGTGTTACTGAAGGACGTAACCCTATATCTCCCACTAGACTAATGTTTCAGCTGAGGGCTTAATTGTTCCTCGTTTCAAGTATTTAAATAACTCTGGTGTGGCCCTCTTAAGGATGAGGAAGTCATTAGCAGGCAAACCCCGGTAGATCTGACTATGAAGAGATGCTAGCCATTCTCAAAAACGCATACGGTGGGAGGAAAAAACTGGAATGATTAGCACTTGAATATTGCCAACAAGGCATGGTATCAAATGTCGCTCTCTTTGATGCATACCTGGGCATTTCTCAAAAATGTCACTGTTGTCAGAATCCCCAGAACTGTTATTAATACCATGAGGTGACCTCTGTGCTCAAAGCTTTCAATTGAAATGTGTAAACAAGGCATTATGATTCCTGGGTTTATCACTGGGTGACTCTGCCGTGGGTAAAATTGCATCATGAGTCCATTTGTGGCTGCTGGGGCAGCCTGGACCCCACACTTACATTCTTCTCTTCTGCTCCTTGTCTGTCCCATCACCAAATGGGAAAGGAAAGTGTCTCTCTAACGTGTTAGCAAATAATAATCAGCCTGCTGGGGTCTTTAACCTTCTAATAGTGAAGATCTTTCTTTTTCTTTTAATCTGTAGGCACTAGGAATGAAATATTCCCTAATTTTTATCTTATACAGTGGCTTTGAAAATGACTTTTAGTCTATTGCTAAATGTCAACTTAATGTCCTGTGAGACTGGCAACAGTCACTGTCAATTGCTTTAGGGAGCAAAATTGGGCCGAAGGGTCACAGTAAGATTCCTTATTTGGTCACAGAAGTCTAGAGGTGGGTTTAGGACGGGGTGCTGCTAACCAACGGAGTTCTAGGAACCTCACCCAGAGAACAGTGAGTGGGGAGAGGGCAGAGGGATGTGGGAATGTAAATGTCAGATCCCGCCCTAGAACTGGGGTTCACGTCTGTGATGTCTCCACAATGAACATAAAGGAACTCTCCGAAGCCTGGGCAGAGCGCCACACCTACAAAAAGCCTTTGCCATAGGCTTAGTCACCCTGGATGCTCAGTAACCCTCTGTGGCAGGCAGGGGTGAGTATTCCAACTGTTTGTCTCCTGAGAAAACTGGAGGTCAGGCCTCTGGCTGGAGTTCAGGCCTTTGAAACGCAACAGCTCTTCTTCATCCCAATGACCTTAAAACAGCACATGTTTTTCTGGTAATGAATAACAAAATACATACGAAAGGCTTATAAAGTGCTTGGCACATTAATAAGCGACCAATAACGTTAGTTATTCTTATTGTAACATGAAGCACGCTTTGAGAAAGCAGGACATGTGTAATACATTTGTGTCATATTTCTGCCCCCAATGATGGACCCAGGTCAACTTTTGATGTTTTAGGGGTTAAGCAATTATTTTTGGAAAAATTCTATGGGGAACGACATTCCCAACAGGCCCTTGCCATGATCAATGGAGGTGTGCTCACTGTTGAAGACCTGGGTTCGAATCCCTACTCTCCTGGGTGAATGACTGAAACTCTCATGCCTTGGTTACCTAATCATCCAGATTCCCAGCAATTCTATTCCTGGGAATGAAGCTTCTGATAATAAAATGTGTTGCAGGATGCCTCCTGTTCTCTACCAACGTCTTTCTGCGTGCCTTCTCTGGCACACGTTGCTTGAGCGAACCACTGTGTGTCTGCTGTATACAAGGCACTGTGTATGGGTGGAGGGTGACCCAAAGATGTATAATAAGGGATCCTGCTCTCAGGAAAGTTACCACAGTGTTAGGGTAGTGGTTCTCAACCAGGGGCAATTCTGCCCACCCAGGGGACCTTTGGAAATATCTGGTGATGTTTTTGATTGTCATGACAGCAGGGGTGTGGTGCTGCTACTGGCATCTAGGAAGTATAGACCAGAGATGCTGTAAACATCCTACAATGCCCGGGACAGCCCCTCCACCCACCCAATATCCGCACAGAACTAATAGCACTGCTCTTGAAAACCCTGAATTACGGGCACAACTAATACGTAGAGAGAAAATGCCAGGCTTTGTTGGTAGGAATGGGTGGTGCCATTTGGTGGGGCTGAAATGTGGACTGTGGCCCTTTACTAGTCTTGTCAAGTGGGGCTTATATACAGTCACAGAGGGTCAAGGGTAGTGTCATAGGTTTTATGTCATTGAACTTTTGTCTCTTTTGGACTCGTTGTGCCATACGTACTCATCATATTTTGTAGCAATCTTGTAATCATTTTCTGTGATATTTTTGTTTTAAAAGTATTAATTTGTGAAGTGTAAACTATATTTTTAGCATCCTACAATTATTGCATCACTCTTTTGTCAATTTTTAATGGTTAAATATGGTCCAAAATAGATATTTAAATATCCCCCACCCCCAAAATATAAGAGGCCTGGAACTCAACAATCTCTTAAGAGGCCCAGTGAATTGTCACAGAAGTAGTGGCAAAAATAACAATATGACTCTTGCTCGATTGGCATTTATGGAGCTCCTACCACTAGCTACACACTAAGTACTTGAGTATTATCTTTGAGAATCCCTTCCACACCCTAGGATGATAGACCGTTAGTATTCCCATTTTATTGGCGAGGAGACTGAGGGAGGGACAGAGCAATTAAGAACGTTGCTTAGGTCCACAGCTATTAAACAGGGGGTCTAGGCAGGAGGCTTCACTTTTATTTACAGGAAAAATACATTGTACGTGGCTCGTCTTATCTCCGCAATGGACTCTAATCCTCGGTGCTGACATGACGGCGGCGGCCACCCACTGTCGCGCACACCTGCTCTCGGTCGTTCCAGTCTCAGTCCCGCTCCCCGCACGCTCAGGACGCCCCGCACCTATGGGAGGGCGGTGGGCCTTGCCTGCGCCCCGCCCCCGGGGCGGGCCAGCGGGGCTGGGGGC